GGGGAGGAATAACCCCATGCACCAGTTCAGGTTGGGTGTTGACCTGCTGGAGGGCAGGTCTGCAGAGAAGGACCTGAAGTGCTGGTGGGCAACAAGATGACCATAAGCCATCAGTGTGCTCTTCTGGCCAAGAAGGCCAATGGTGTCTCGGGGTGCACTAAGAAGAGTGTGGCCAGCAGGTCGAGGGAGGTTCTCCTCCCCCTCTACTCTGCCCTGGTGAGGCCACATCTGGAGTGCTGTGTCCAGTTCTGGGCTCCCCAGTTCAAGACAGACAGGGAACTACTGGAGAGAGTCCAGCAGAGGGCTACGAAGATGATGAGGGGACTGGAGATCTCTCCCATGAGGAAACACTAAGAGGCCTGGAGAAGAGAAGACTGTGTGGGGATCTTGTCAACGCTTATAAATATCTAAACAGTGACTGTCAAGAGGATGGGGCCAGACTCTTTTCAGTGGTGCACAGCGACAGGACAATGGGCAAAAACCGGAGCACAAGAGATTTTATCTGAACATGAGGAAAATCATCTTTCCTTTGAGGGTGACAGAGTACTGGAACAGGCTGCCCAGAGAGGGTGTGGAGTCTCCTTCCCTGGAGATATTCAAAACCCACCTGGATGCGATCCTGTGCAATCTGATGTAGGTGAACCTGCTTTAGCAGAGGCGTTGGACTAGATGATCTCCAGAGGTCCCTTCCAACCCCTACCATTGTGTGTGATTCTCTGACACTGAGAACAAATTATTGCTCCCTAACATATGTGACAAATGAAGTCTTTCATGAATATTTTTTTTTAAAGAACATCAGCTTTGATGTTTAAGTTTTGTATTTAGAGAACCTTACTTTATTGATAAATGAAGGTAAGGTAACTCCCAAACTCTCTCATCTATCCCTGATGTATTTTGTAGCTCTAGGTTAATTAATTTATTTTCTCTGAAAAACAGAACTACTCTGGTTTCCTATCTCAAAAATAAAAAAATGTTAGCTCTTACAGACATGGAACAAATACTCTGATAGTGCAGCAAACACTATTGTGTCTTCTAGTGATGTAAAATATATTTTATCTTCTAGAGAAACATTGGTGGGGGAGAGGGGAAGAGATGAACAAATAAACTCCTGAGAATGAGTCTATTGATGCAGACTGTGTCTACCAATAATACAAACCCAAACCTCTATCAATGGTATGACTGATGCTGTAAAGCCAGTTTGCATTTTTTACCTTATAAAGCTAATTCATACAGAAAGGACATATTTCTTAAAATATTAATGAAAACATTACTTTGGTCTATAGTATTTGTTAATCCAAATACTACTTCTCTTTAAAAAAAAGCTCTTATATCAGTTTACAGACTAAGTAACTGCACTGAAGTAATCAGAATATCATTATCAGCTCCCCAGGACTGCATTTACAAATCCTGACTTTACCTGGTTGTTGTTGGATTTCAGTAAAGGTGGTGCTGGTTCATGATGTAGTGGTGAGGAAGCTGAACTGCTGTCACTGTCACTGCCATTACTCAGACTAACCCTATGGAAAAACAGAGACAAGAGATTACACTTCCAGACAAAGGGCTGTTAACAGAGGTGAATCAAGCTTCCACTTTGAGGCAGGAACACTAAGAACAACCCCTTGCTAAGCATGCCATCATTAATCAAGGTCTTGTGGAAAAGAGGCATCTGAGCAGGGCCCCACTCTGGAAAAGATTCTGCGTAGCATGGAGAACCAGGCTATCTGCCTGCACTTGGCTGAGACGACATGTCCAGTTAACACCAGCTAATGTTAAAGAAACAATTAAATATTCAGAACATTAAACTGCTGTTCCCAACGTTCCTGGAGAGAGTTCGTATCTCAGTTCATAGCCTCATGGAAAGATGAAAATGTTTTTAGAGACATTTTTCTGCTCTTCTAAAAGCTTTCTAAACAGCTGTAGCTCCCACTTGGACAAGTGTTTTGCTGACAAGTTCCTTGTTTTTCATCATAAATAACACTCTTTTTCCTGGATAAAATTTAACAACTTAGTATCTCAGGAGAGGCCACATGCAGTCTCACCCTTCATTTACTTAAGAACTACAGGGAAAATTTATTTGTTGGAAGAAACAGAAGAGGTATCCGGGATAAAAAGAAGTTAGAGAAACATTAGCCTTAAGGTTTTGTTAAAAAACTGAAACAAAATCTCCACACTTAGTGACAAGTTGAGCTTGAGACAATTCTTTATACAATCACTGACATGAACAAATTCTCAATTTGATAGTCATATTGGTCTTTTTCTCCTTGATTCCAGCTGCTAAAGTGCACCAGGGAATTCAGTAATGTTTTCCTACCACCTTCCCATTTAAGCAGTAGCTGACACTAGCACTCAGTTGCTGTGCACTCAGAGCAAAAGCCTGTGGATCAGATAAAGAACCCACTATTAAAATGATCTGAGAAAGACTGTTTCAGATTTTCCATAACCTTCAACAACATTCAGATGAAGCTTGAAGCTGCCCAAAGAACAGATGACTTCTGGAACTCCCTCTTAATGTTGCAGCTAGGATGCAGAAGCTTTTTTTAAAAAGTAATTTCTGTGACAGATGCTTGTTTTACCTTCTGTCTGGACTTTTATACATTGCCTACTGCATGCAGTGCAAAAACTACTTGAAATCTGAATTTCATTGATTCTCACCTAATTTAATGACCTAATCTAAAACTGGTAAGCAGAGACATCTTGACAATCAGACACTGTACAGAATAGCTCATCCAGTAATTGAAGGACTTAATTTTATCTCATTTATGCCAGAGAATAATTGTGACTACTCCCCTAAAGTCACAATGACATGAAATCAGGGAAAGTCAAATGAATGAGGATCGTCATAACCATATGGATTAATACAGAAATAGTCTGTATTGGGAATGGCTAATTCTGCTAGTTTTTAGAAAAGACACTTTTACATGCATATGTTTTAAAAAGAGTTTGAACTCTCCCCCCATTTGTTACTCAGTGCTCTTTGAGAACATCAGACCTCACCTCATTACTAACAAGCACATTATCTTGGCCACCAGGCCACTTGCAATCACAAGACACTCACCTGGGACTCCTGCCTCCTCCTCCTGTGTTTACAGGTGGTTCCAACTCAGAATCATTGTCATTCTCATCTACTTCATCTGATTCATCTTCATTATCATCTGAATGCAGATCTCTCATTATAGACCTCAATGGACCTGAAACAACAGAGACAGTAAAATACACAAATGAAGTTCACTTTGCAGTATTCCTGGCAATTCACCCAGTTTGTAGATGATAGAAAACTACCCTCTCCGCACAGTGTTGGGAGGGGAGAGTCTTAAACAAATGAAGTAATGCACTGGGCACTTATGTGGCAAGGACTAACCCATTAATCACCTACTCACACAAGCAACTTGGTCAGCTTCAATAGATTTACTCATGACAGAGTTGCTTGACAGTGAAGTGACTCATACATTCAAGCGTTTGCAGGACTGGCCCACTGGATCACAGCTAAAGTAAGTAAAATACTGTCATGCCAGCAGAAACTATTACTGTAGTATTATTAGAAGCAAGATTTTTTTGCATTGCTGATTTTCAGCATTTCTTGCTTTCTCAATGGGTATTATATGCAAGTAAAGATCTACAGGGACATACTGATCAGTAATAGTAAAACTACAACTGTTTTGAAATAAAATGGGCAAAAGCAGCTTAGAAGAAGGAAGAAGAATGATGCCACAGGGCATTTAACTCTGAAGTACAGTACATCTGAGACACAAAGCAGCAAGTAAAAGCAATGGTGATGGCTGCAGGAACAGCAATCACAATTCTGTAATTCCTTCAGCCCAGGAAATATTAAATACTAACGTGAACAAAGTAAGCCTCGGACTGTTCTTCAAATGGAGATGAAGCTTGCAACTCTCTATTTGCTAATGGGGAAACAGAGTCCAGGAGTGTCATCCCTGGTCACTGCTAGAAAAGAAGACAGACCTCTGTCGGGGTCATTCTCCTAACAAGGAAGGTGTTCTCCTCATGGGAGGAACGGCTTTATGGATTTTTCCATACCTAGTAAGGCTCAGGTCACAGGCATTTTGACTAGTTTTGTGCAAGTGCCTTCAAAGCCAATGTTGAGAATGATTTACCACTAAGGCTGCACTAGAACTTTGGTAAATTGGCACAGTTTGGGCAGACTCAGATCAATAGTTTCTTTTCTCTTTTACACCCTAAGTCTGGCTGGGAAGAAGCCCAGATGGTGCTGATGGGAAAATTCCTGGTGGACCAGACACTTTTACAGGCAACAAGGAAAGGGGAGATATCCTTAAATGCTTCTTGTCCATGCAACCACCGCTGATCTGCAGAAGCACCTGATGTGTGCTTATTTTCTGCTCCTGTTTGGGTCTCAGGTGGACAATGCTCAGCTATTTGCAAATAGAGATTTGTAGTCTGACTGAATATCTGAACATCTGACCCTTGAAGGAAGGGAAGGACTCCTTCCTCGGCTTATAATAAAGAACAGTAATAATCATATTCCCTTTAAAAGGGAGGAGAGAGGGCACCCCAGCAGCATCAGCACAGGAAAGAAGGAAGAAATTGCTCATCTTGATCTTTTGGAAAACATTCTTACCAGCCAGCTTGACTGTTGAGGTGGGTGAATGAGAGACATGGCATAGGCAGCTAAATAAATTGAGGTAAAGGGTTAGAAAAGATAATTAAATGATAAATATACAAAGTAGTATTCCATATTTCAAGAGAGATAAAAGGGCAGAACACAAGGGTATTTCCACAGCTAGGCTTAGCCTGGAAAGGCTAGTTTTCTTACACCTTATTGGGCAAAGACACTAACAACCACCATCAAAGTCCTTCTGAAGACGGTCATCTTTGCACTGAGAGCAGATGAGTCTCACTCCACTGCATAGGCCAAAGTCAGCTTCTGAGAACGCAGTTGTTTCCACAATGTACAGGAGGAAGAAAATTATCAAAAAGACTTGTTAAAGGACTGATGAAAGGAAAGCATCATCACACTCTTGATGAAAAAGCAGAGGAAAAGGTCAGTAGGAGGAAAGGTAAAATAATGAACCAAAACCTAACATTGTAATGAAATTTTCTATGGCATATGAATAGCTAATCTTGTATAAAACACTAGCACGTAACTCCACAACACGGAAACTGGTAGCTATGCTTGCAAATCACCCAAACATCAGTCCTCAATTTTATTTTCAAGTGGAAGCAGAAGGAAAACCAGCACACATTCCTCATGATCTCTACACAGCCTGCTCTCCCAAGCTTAAGCTAACTCATTATTCTTGCCTATGTTCTCTTTCCAAGTATAGCAGAGGACCACTTTATCCCCTGATACTCCCTTGCTTTGTTCTGGGACAACCAGACAGTCCTGTCTCAAGCTGCCAACAGGCTTACTCCTCTTTCCTGGAGTAATCCAAGATGGAAACACATCCATCGCTGCCAGGCCCACAGGCATTGAACAACCTGTCATTCAGACAAGTTTTCACTTAATGTAGGACCATGTCTGGGACTCTGAACAGGCATTTTGCACCCAGCCAGCTAACTTTTTCAGTACACTTTCCTAACAATCAGCAAAGCATTAATTTGTAGTTCTGTTTCTAGCACTGATAGCAATGTCACTGTTCATCTTTTGCTCTTCAATAACACTTAATTTAAAATTCCATTACCTTTTAAAGGGTTTGAGAAATTGTTATCTCCTAAAGGGTCAGAATATTTAAGGAGAAACTGAAAACTAGAAGCTGCCCAAGAGCAAGTGTTCTTGCTAAGGAAACAGAGAAATATCAGAGTAAGCCCCAAGGGCAGGACAAGTTGAAGAACCTTAGGTTAGCCCACCTCTTCTGCAAGAAGAGGTGAAAAAAGTTCATGCTGCGGTTTTCTGACACTTGAGTGAGCACTGGAGTTTGAATGCAAAGGAAAAGAGAAACAGCCCTGGCAAATAAGTTCTAGATCAGGAAAATAGCATGGGTTCTGACCAGAGCACAGCATACAGTGTGAACATGCCAGAGTATGCCTGGTGCTTCATTCCTTTGAAATACAAATGCATGGCCTGGCCATAGAACACATTTAGTTAACTGGAACTTCCAGAAAGAAGCAGTAATCACTATTTACTGTGGCAAGAAAGAGGAGACATATATACCACTTGCACTTCAGAAGTGTTCACAACAGAGAAAAAAATCTCCCATCTTTTCTTGAGAAGGTACAAAATGCTGAAAGACAGTCGGTGATACGTCTTATAGACGACCCAGTAGAGATGGACGGATCCAGTCTGCTCAGAAGAAAATATGAAGTCAAAATGTTTTTGCCCAACATAAGATACCGGAACGGGTATCCAAATCTTTTGGCTTGTAATGGACAGTTCACACTATTAATGAGATTTTCATGAGACCAAAAATGGGGTTTTAGGAAGAAAAGGTTCTGTTCAACCTTACACAAATATCAAATGCCTGAAGCCAGTCATCAACCACAGTTCACTTCAGCTCTTGCTTTCTTTCACTTTCTATGGAGTAACACTGCCATAACACACTGAAAAACCAGTACCAGTGACCTATAGAAAGACAGTAGGACAGATATGCATCATGTGTAGATCTAGCTAAAAACAAACTGTCTGCCTGAGGCACTGTGGGAGCGTAGCTTGCTGAAAACAGGCATGGAATGCTAGAGGGCCTGCACAGGGAAAACTCTGGTGAACAGTTTGTCTAAACTAATATAGCAGGCCTCAAGGACGCTTCAACCTTGAGGGTCAGAATAGAAGAATTAGAAGCTAACATCCGTATGAGGCGGAACGCATTAGTATGAATAGTAAAGTGATAGGTAGAAGCAGATGACTGATGTATGTATAGCACAATTAGAGTTTATGAAAAACTGCAAGTCATGATGACTTTGGAAAATTATGCTATATAAGAAAGTGCATCTGCACAATAAAACGAGTTTCCTGATATAACTCATATTGAGTCTTTCGTGGATTCTCCAACTCCCGTCTCCGCAAGGCACTAATGTATTTTCATAACCTTAAATCAGGTCTGCCATTGAGGAATATAAACAGATAAAACAAATGCAGTTTTAATTAGTCAAAAGCTGCTTTTTTAATGTTCCTGATCCACAGAACAAAACAAGAGCTGATTAAGAATGTATCAGTTGTACCACCTCATAAATCCAGGAAAAAAGGCCAAGCAGGAACTAAGTAGTTTAATAGATCATGTAGAATGAATCTCACCATATTTACAGAAAATCTGCCTTGGCAAGTTCTCTGGGAAGAAAAATGCATTTCTTTACTGTTCCAAGTAAACCATAATTATTAGCCAGGAAAACAAAATGCAATCTTAAAGCCAACTTAAAGTCTAACCATCATCTTCCCCTGCTATTTATCTAAAGTAAATACTGTATGCTCTTAAAAGTTCCCAATATTTTGGGAAGATTACAGCCCTTTGAGAGAGTCGACATACACACATCCTTGGGCTTCCCATGAGAAGTCACATCTTCCTCAGCCCGGCTTCAGATGGAACCAAGTGCCATGTTATCTAACCCTGCAAAAGGACAACCTCAGAAACACAAGGTCTTTTGAGTCTAGCATACATTAAGTCACTGGCATGTAAGCAGTGCTTCAAAACAAATACCCTTCACATCCTTTTCTCAGATACACATTTTCTCCCCTTTTATTCTGCCCTTAGAGCCACAGCCAAAAACCACCTGAGGAAAAATCTCTAAAGCAAAACTGTGGCCAGTTCAGGCTGTGAAAGGCAACAAAAAGGCGGTAATGAGACACCACCAGTTCTGTTTTTACTGGCTCCTTCATTTCACATGTTCCTTTCAATTTCTTTTCCTTTGTTGGTACCTTGTTGTCTGCTCTTTTGAGATGGTGTAAAACTGGAACTGGAACTGGAGCTGGAACTGGCAGGACTGGGCTGTTCAGACTTCAAAGAAAAAAAAAAAAAAGGAAAATAAGTAACATTGTAAGGAACATTTTCCCCTAAAACTCTTATTGTAAGTTACTGCCAAAAGCATGCTCTCAAGAAAAAAAAGCTACAAAACAGAATAGTACTCAAAAGATCTTTATTTCAGGTGTCAGTGAGGCAAATATGGTGGAAATTGCTATGAACTCAACATATGTACACACTAGTACACTATGTCTAGTTTTTTACTAAAGCCAGTATCCTAACAAGAAGTTCCCAATGCCTTGTTTGAAAGGCTGTACAATATGAGAGCCTAAATGAGTTTATAATAGACCTAAGGCTCCTGTGTTCTTGTCATACTGTAGTTTCAACATTTTCCAAATTAGTAATGATATAGTACAATAAAAAAAAAAAACAAAACCGAAGAACTGAGCAGACCACCTCAGTTTTCTTTCTTCTTCCTTAGAAAGTACATCTTAAGATGAGGATTCAAAATAAACTTTGCTGTTGCTACTGGATTTCTCCTCATCCCAACACTTTCCACATGTATTAACACCCTACAGATTTTAATAGTGATTGAACCAGAAAGATTGCCTTGTTACAAAGAGAAATTATCTGGAATCCACAGATAACAAGAGAACTAAATTTTTAAAATAGTGATGTTAAAATCAGTTTACATTATTTAACAAACAGTTCCATACATTGTTTTTCCACTATTGTTTAAAAAGTATAAATGCCTCTCTAAAATTCTATAAATTTACTGAGAAAGGTCTATTACTCAATCTAAAAATTCTATATCATTTTTCTCATAGTAGTTATGGCTTGTGAGGGTTGTACTGAGAAGTCTTGCTTCCTGCTGCCAAGTTGCATGCCTCCATACACTTTTTTTGCTGTTTCTTAGGCTCAGTTGCTTGAAGTGCCTGGGTGCCAGTATGTATTTGCACACTCATTTGTGTACATGAGACAGAGAACAAATCCGGTATGTAGGCACAGGGGATGTTAACAGAGAACATAAAACAAGAGAAAGAAGTGTCCATACAGAAGGAATGGTGAAAATCAAGTTATGAACTAATGCTCTAGAAATCTACTACTGAAATCTGAAAATCTGCTTACACTTTAAATTTTATACAGCTGTGTTATCCAGGCTATCTAAGTTTTCTGATTCTTCTCGCCTGTACAATATCCCTTGTGATGAAGTTAGAACTAAATTGTTCTTAAAAATAACAGCAGTAACATCCAGTCACTGCAAAAATCAGTTTTCACACATACCGGCTACCTAAGCCTAACAGTTGCTTTTTCTCCATAAATCAATCTATTGTTGCCTTTCATAATGAGCAGACAGATTTACAGCCTTTTACCGCCTTTTCTCACAATAAGAGTTGCCCATTTGGGCAACGGAATGCTTGGGAAAAACACCATTAACATCTGATCTCAAATGAACACCAGCTCCAGTTTGCACAGACACGCAGTCAAAATACAGACTCCTGATCTGACTGTATGTGGTCAATCAATCCTGTGCAAGAAAACCCAACCCAACCAACAACACAATGCATTTCTGAGTACCAAGATTCTTACATTCTTACATGGTCCACAGCATTAGAGCTTTTTTGGAAGACCCTGCAGCATCACTTGATACTGCTCCAAAAATCAATTAATTATGAAAACACTTTTTTTTTTACTGCCTGAACTTCTGCAAAACCATACAAGATTTTTAGCTGTAGCATAGTTAGGATAACATGAAACAGACTGCACTGATGAAGAACAAGTGCCAATGCAAACTTTGAATACATCACCATTCTGGAAACTAATTTCAGCCTTCCAGCTTCAGGTTACTCTTAAATGTCTGGTTTATCTGTCACTTTCTGGGTTTTTTGCAGCAAAATTACCAGCCGACAACTAGTTTCTGCAGATTTCCATTACCTGTATTTTTCCTCTAATAATTCCAACATGAATTTTAACTTAGGTAAAATACATTCCTTTAAAAACCTAGCAATCACTAAAAGACTATCATGTATTTAAAATACTTGAAAAAGTGCTAAAACTGTAAGAAGAAAACATTGCACAGATGCAGAGATATTTGTCACTATTAAAGCTTCACTACTTTCTTTTTCAATCAGTTTACTGGAAATTAAAAAAGGGAAAAGGCCTGGTCTTATTCACAGTATAAGTGAAATTCCCCCGTGTCAACATTTCCTCCCAGCATTAACTACCTGAGACAGAATCAGAAGAAGAAATGGCTATGATTACATATAAAGTTGTCGTAATAGCTTCCTGGTAAAAATTTTGCTTTGCTTTAGCACAATCACTTTGAGAAGCCAAACCATAGAAAGTCCCAGTGAAACATAAATGATCATCCATACTCTTTGAAAAAAGGTTCTTAATGCCTCTTGAAACAATTTACATTATTTCCTTAAACAGCCCTGTCTGAAAGTTTATTCCAAGAAATACAGATTAGCATAAATGTTATAATTGTTAAGCATCAGAAATCAAACCTAGCTTTTTAGACTTTGAGAAATCTGGGGTGAGAGCACACCCAGAGGAAACAGCTGCTTTTGACATAAGAATGAAGATTATTAACAGAAAACTCTTGCCTTTTCAGAAGGAACTAAAAATATGCCTTCCATATATGAATGTAGATAGTGCTGACAGTGCCGATGCTTCTAGTTACCAGAGATCATCTTTTGTCACTTAAGCAATGCTTTTTGACAGTTTTACAGGTTGTTATCCCAAGGACTTAGGTATTCATGGCTTTATTCACTTGGGCTTTCTGCTCTTATCCACTGGCTACTAATCACCAAACAGAATTTTTTTTTTTGAATGAGTCTAAACAATAAAAGCTTAAGGCAGTACCAGCAAAGAGCTTCTCTCATATGTCCTTTACCCGTTTTACCAGTTTTGTCTTCCTGTAGACTAGCTATGAGCATTTGGGCCCAAACTATTCGTTAGTGCAATGACTAAATTTATTGCCTTTTTAGACAGTCTATTTCATTTTAGTGCTCTCAGACCAATGCACAGAAGACACTGGCTTCTTTATTAGGCTTGGTTGAAGGACTCTGTGCTTTGAAATGGTTCAGCAAGAAAAGGGACTTTTTTTCGGCTGAAACTTTCCCTGAAAAGGTAGCTTTCTCACCAGCATTAAATCACTTGGCCTTCTGTCATTTCCAAACCCTTGTCTGTTTTTACAAGTAGTACAACTTACTCCTGAGCTACAAATATTTTTCAGGCAAACTCACCTGTTTATGGCACAGGATATAATAGAGCTGTTTCTGTAGTATTTTAAGGTTGACCAGATTCATATAATAACTTCTAAAAATAAACCCCACCATTCCAAGCTCCTTATTTATACTAAAAAATAGAAAACATCTGTATGTGCGTGACAATGGCTTTTCTTGCCTTCCCCTGAACTGTTCTTAAAGGAAGTTTATATATTGTTTCCTGAAATAGAATTTAAGTGGTGTAGTAACATTTCATTTCATATCAGTCAGTCTACGTATTTCCTATTTTTACACACAATAGTCTAAAGATTTATGTTTCCCTGTGCCATACATACTGAAAAGTCTATCCACTTAAAACTGCTTATAGCCAATCTTATAGCTTTGTCTGAAGTTAGCTTCTGAGGGAGGAGCAACATGCTCCCCCAGGACAAGACTTATTTGACAGGGCTCCTGTACCTACAACTTTTATTACCTCAAGCACCCTGCCACTGACCACTGCCTCAGCTTTTAGTAGCATAATCCAACTCATCTGTAGCTCAAAGGACAGAACAACCTCACCTCATCCACCAAGCATCCACATCTACCACTGCCAAGTGGAGATACTGCTTGGGTGTCCATGATACGATCAGCCTGAACTGAGCTGCCTGCTCCCTGCCCAAATTCTCTATCATCACATCTCCTATTAAGCTGCTACATTAGCAACTAACCTCCAAGGCAGGGTATAAGTGTTACTTTTTAACCATCCACAAAAAGTAGCTTGTAGATTGAAAGCTCACAGGGAAAATGGAAGAACAGGGGTATGGAGTGGGAAGTGGAATTAATTCTTTTCTTATAGAAAAGGCAGTATTTATTCACAGCTATGAAGTTTAGGGAACTAAACAATTATTTAGAGAAGTAATTCAAAATTCAGGAGATATAAAATTTGAACGGGAAATGCCAGATAATTGATTTTTGAGAGAAGGCAGAGATAGTAATTTGTCAGAAAACGTAACCTATGGTTACATTGATACAATTAGTTGCCTTAATTATTTATAGTAATTTAAAACAAAAATTCCATATCACTGCTGGAGATGAGGTTATTTGTTAATTAAGTTGACTCTGTACCTGCTACGTGAGCAAGTCCATGGGCCCTGATGGGATGCACCCATGAATGCTGAGGGAGCTGGCAGATGTCATTGCGAGGTCACTCAATAATCTTTAACTGATCATGGTGACTGTGAGAAGTGCCCAAACATGGCAGGAAAGCAAATGTCACTCCTGTCTTCAAGAAAGGCAAGAAGAACCCAGGGTACTACAGGCCAGTCAGCCTCACCATGATTCCTGGGAAGGTGATGGAGCACCTACTCCTGGAAATCATCTCTAGGCACTTAAGAATGAGAAAATCATCAGAAGCAGTCAGCATGGCTTCACCAAGAGGTTTCTGTGATGAAATGGTTGGCCTGGTACATGAGGAAAGAGCAGTAGATGTTGTCTACCTGGACTTCAGTAAGGTCTTTGGCACTGTCTCCCCCAAGATCTTCACGGACAAGCTGTTGATGTATGGGCTAGATGAGCAGACAGTGCTGTGGATTGGAAACTGGCTAAATGGGTGGGTGGGCCCAGAGGGTTGTGATCAGTGGTGCAAAGTCTGTTTGGAGATCAGCAGCTAGCAGTGTACCCCAGGGGTCAATACTGGGTCCAGTTCTATTTAACATCTTCATTAATGATCTGGATGATGGGACAGGGTGTATCCTCAGCAAGTTTGCTAATTACATAGAACAGCAGGAGTGGCTGATATGCCAGACGATTGGAGACTGAGATAATACA